AAACAGTGGCAACAGGCCTTTCTCACATGGCAGCTGCTCTGGGTGAACAGCTGAAATAACTTAGTGGTCTTATGCTGCTGCTCGCTAGAAGAGAAGGTGCCTGCCCAGTGAACAGGATCCCTTGGCAATGCAAGGCAATCAGCATTCACTTGTCGCCTTGGTTGGCAGTTTCAGCTGTTTTACACAACCAGAAGGTGTATAATCCTGCCAGTGCGTAGACACCCTTAAAATGCTGAGCAGCCTTTTTGCTGCCCTGAATATTTTACTACCCTAAAAAAGCTTCTCTAGTCTATCTTCAAGGTTAGAACTGGTGCCTGTGGGAAAATGACCTTGTTTTCAGAACTATCTTCCACAAATCAGCCTGACACCCAAGAGTGAAGCATTGCAGCTAAGATGTACATTAATGTTTTCTGTTTTGTATCTACTGGGTGACTGTGGATACCCACGCCTCTCGGTCCTGCCTCTTTCATTGAGAGTAAATTCATTAAAAATTAACTAAATGCAGCCAGGCTGGGCAGATTCACATGCACAGAAATGTGGTAATGAGGGACTCTGATGTTAAAACAAGACTTCTTATTGTAGGCATTAGATGTTGATTTTAGTGCTTAAATGGAAACATCTACGTCTAAACATTAATCTTAGAGAAAGGGGAGAGACATGCTTACTCATTTGCTCTGGCTCAGCGGTGGGATATGCTTGCTCATTTGCTGTAGATCAGTGGTGAATTCAGATGAGAATTTATTTCACCATGCCTGTATTTCTTCTTCCAAGTGTTTTCTGTGTGTTAGCTGGAACTGCCATCTTCATTATTACTGCCAACGGTACTAATAATTAGTGCTATAACACCAGAGCGGTAGAGCATCCTCAGCTGGAACACTCAAGATCGCTGCATAATCAATGATATTCAGAAATGTGGATTTCTAAACCACCATCCTGATACTTCTTGCTTCTTAATTCCTTCTCTGCAGTTTTATTAGACTTCAATGACACAACCCACCCCCCCCCAATGAAACTACATTGGAATGGCGAGATAAAGGGCTTTTGCTGATTCATGGAGAATTTGTAGCTGCAAGTGTGACAACCTGATGGAGTTAGATTGATGTCCCTTGGGATCTCTAGCTGAATAAAGCCACATTTTGTATTTCCCTCCAAGGAAGCCTCTGCCTTCCCCTGCTTCTTCTGTTTTCAAGATATTAAAACACCAATTTCAAAACAGAAAATGTAGGAAGAAAAATTGAATGGCTATGAGATGCTATCAGCTCCTTGGTTATAAAAGAGCCTGCATGGAGCAAAGTGCTGTCACTGGGGCCTCCTCCTTGGCCCGAATTCAGGTGCTGCCCGCACCAGCAGGGGCGGAGGGGCCTCTGCTGGGCTATGAGCACAGCCAGGATCAATTCCTGTCTCTTGAATATGAGGGATTTTTTCCAAGTGAGCCTTAGCTACGTGCACTGCCTTGATTCTCTGCAGTGTTTGTCTTTGGGGCTGAGTGGCTATGAAATGCAGTCACCAAAGCCTGAGGGGACACTTTTTGCCTTTCTAAAGAACTGTGCAGGCCGGGTGTGGTGTTCTCCCTGTTTTGCATGTGTGGAGCAGGAACGTATCAGCCTGAGCCTGGAGGAGACCAGGGGACCTGGTTTCTGACTTGTCACATGAAGCTTTCCAGACTGAGGTATATACGACACACCCAGGAAAAAGTATTTTCTCTGACTTGTTCTTCTGACACGGCACGGGGCAAATACACTACTTAGAGCCCTGAGATTGCTGGAGCAAGCTGTTCCCTTTATTCTACTCTTTCTCTATAGACGGACTGTGTCACGGTGGTCTAATGCAGCATCTCTTCCTAGAATCGCAATGCATTGTTGACTGATTTAGTTACTGTGCTGTCAGCGTGCCCTCCTGCTTAATCTGTTTCATTAATTCCTTCCTTGCTACTGGCTTCAAAATGCATTAACATGGGAAAAATAAATCAAGTGTTTGAGCACAAAGAAGACCTATGGGAAAAAGCTTTTGAGCCGTTTCTGAAGCTTCCATGGCTGTTATTCTTTACTTTGCTGATACAGCTGGATTTACCATCCTGTTGAATGAGCATATTCCAGACCGTAAAAAATAACAAAGTAAACCCACGTGCTCTTTGTATAGGTCAGAACTGGAGATGGGCTGCCAGATATAACAGCATAGGACATTTAAAATCAATAGAATGAAATGTGCAAGCACTGGCAAAGTCCAGCTTATGCTATGTCCCTCATCAGCATACAGTTCACAACCCCCAAACAAAGCAGAAACAAAACCTGAAACAAAACAAAAATTATATTGTGAAAACATCTGTGCGTGGGAACGTGTGTGTGCGCGCCTGAACTCAGCCATGTTTTCGAGTGCACATCTGTCTGCCAGCTGGGTGGATGTTTGTGTGAACATGCAGGAATACGTCCGTGACTCTTGTGTGGGAAAGCGGAGTGGCCGTGGGCTTCTTCAGGGTGACAGAAAGCCTAGGAAAAGAGCTTACCTACCTCCTAAGTCAGTTTTGGAGTGGTAAATTTAAGTCTTGGGGCACTGGTACTCTCATGTCACAGTCCTTAATCTCACCTACACTGCCAAGGCTTCCACCAGATCCATTCAAGGAAGACGCATCTTTGAACATCTACCATCATTGCTACAGCAGGACTTTTACGCCATGGTGGAGCAGGGGAATATTTCTCCGTGAGAAGTTCATGCCCTGATCCATGCTTATATTGTGCTCTGTATTTTCAAAGTGGAGTGCAAAGTTTTCTTTGTCCTCTCTTCTTCGTTTTTCTTCACGTAGGCATGTGAAACTAGATTCTGCAGTTCAAGAGATCAGAGAACTCACACTAGGAAATGTTCGGCCCCACGCAGTTCCCCATGTGGTGGCTAGCTCCAAATGACCCTGAACATCTGAAACTGTACTCAGAATATGGAAAGTATAGTTTTGAGAATGTAATCGGAGCTCTCGGAGTCAAATATTTCTGTCTGATTAGTTATGGAAACACCATGAACAACACAGTGCTGAGAAGGCTGATGCAAACGGGGGCAGGCGGTGTGGGGTATGGAGGAGGTGGAAGACTCCTTACTCCTCCAGCAAATCAATGCCGCTGAAGAGCAGGTTTCACAAAGATGCAGCCTTTTTCATTTTAAAATCCTTTCAAAAACAAACAAACAAAACCACCTTGAAGATCTGGCCCAGGGGAATCGGTGACCAAACTGCTGCAGACATCAGGAGGGGACAGGTTTTCCACACACCGGTTTTCCTTTTGAGGTTAAAGGCCAAGAAACAGCAGGGGGGAACTTCTCGGCCTGTATGTAGCACCAGGGAATTCGGCAGGGCTCCTCCAACTTATGTTGACTGAGAAATTGCCCTGTTCACTTGACCTGGTGTCTCCTCAGCTTTCTGTTCACTTCCTGGCTATAAAGACTCGCGCGTTGCTGCTTTAATTGTAACCACAGTGTTCTCAGGCTTACCGGATAAACAAAATGTTGGTCAGGATGTACATTGTTTGCGACCTCAAAACATTTTCCCAGCTCTTCCCTTCGTGCTTTGGGGTTGCGTCTCCAAGATCTGAGGTTCCAGTGTGGGCAGATGCTCAAAGCGTGGGAACCATCCTGCGATTTCCCCGGGCAGGTGCTTGGATACTTGGGTTATCGAGCTGTAATTGCCCTGGATATCCTCGGCGGTTTGGAACAGGCAGCGGGTTGGGCAGTGGCGAAACGCGTCCTGCCTCCAGGCAACGCGGGCTTTTGTTGAAGAGTTTAGAAACAACAGTTGTACTTCTTCTCTGGAAGTGAGACGCGATCACAAAAAGCAATTCTGAAGTGTAATGGGATGAAGGGAAACTCAGTGCGAAGCTGTATTTAAACCTGAGCAATATTTACAGCGTACACACCGGTTATGTTCTCCCAGTCCATGTTTCTCCTGTAATTCTACCCGGGCTCTGCGTCAGCATGAAACAACGTGTAAAACGCCAAATAATCGTTATCCCGCCTCCGCCGCTGAGGGATCGCTATGGCGCAGTCGCCCGGTGGCCTCGCGCAGGCGCC